TTAAAGTGATATTAGTAAAGAAGCAGTGGTTTAAACTGGGGTTTATTACTATTTCAATTAAAAATAATTAAATAAATAGAAAAGGATAATTATAATAAAACTTAATTTAATTAATTAGCCTAATTTCTAAATTATATAACTTAAAGATTTTATAATATCTCTTTAAAAATACCTCTCTTTAAGGAATCTTCTTTCTTTAAGCTTTAGTTAATATAATACTATTATATTTATTTAGCTTATTTCTATTAACTATAATATTTATTAAAATATATAATTAATTAACTTTAAATTTCAAAATAAGTAAAGTAATATTAATAAAAAATCAGTAATTTAAATTACAGAAATCTCTTTTTAAATACTAAATTTAATAAATAAGCTATAATTTAAACTCAAGATATTATTTTATAGCTTTGAAAATACACCCTTACAGGCACCCTTGCCAAGTTGTACCAGTGTGCTCTTGGTCCTCATATAGGCAGCTATCCCCTCATGACCATTTTCCAGTCCTATTCCACTCATTTTCCAACCACCGACAGGCATCTCGGCTGGCGACTCACCCCATGTGTTAATCCAAGTAATCCCAGCGTCAAGCTTTTGCACAACTTCATGTGCCAGTCCCACATCAGATGACACAACACCAGCAGCAAGACCCATCGGGGTATCATTAGCCCGGGCAATGAGCTCTGACACCCATTCTTGTCGAGGGCGTCCTTGGGTGCTATATGGCATGATGCACATGACTGGGCCGAAGATCTCTTCCTGGACAACGCGCATGCTGTCAGTGCAATTTGTGAATACAACAGGGTGAACCCAGAAACCATCAGAAGTTGGTTGTGCCATACTTGGCTCCTCCGAGCCGTCGAAGAGAACCTTTGCCTTGTCAACTGTACGTCCATGTTGGATGTACATCTTGACCTTCTCTTGCTGCGCGGCGCTGACCATCGGTCCGAAGTTGGTCTCCCCGTTTTGGGGCAGACCCATGCGAATTCCCTCGCGACATCGCTGCACGATAGCTTGCTCAACCTGGTTCAACAGAATGTCAGGGACAAAGACACGGGTGCCATTGGTACACACCTGTCCGGTCGAGAAGAAGTTGGCTACCATGGCAGTGTCGGCTGCTTCCTCGATGTCGGCATCAGGAAGAATAACAAGCGGGCTCTTGCCACCCAGTTCCATGGTGACACCCTTCATATCTTTAACAGCTTGGCTGGCAACTTTGCTGCCCGTGCTAACTTGACCAGTGAAGCTGACTTTGGCAATATCGTTGTGGGCGACAAGAGGCGCTCCAACGGCGATACCGTCACCGTAGACAACATTGAAGACACCAGGAGGGACGCCGGCCTCGATGTAGATTTGAGCGAGTGCCTGGGCATGCAGGGGAGTGACTTCACTTGGCTTGTACACCATACAATTGCCAGCAGCCAAACATGGAGCCGACTTCCAGAGAGCAATCTGAATGGGATAGTTCCATGCACCAATGCCGGCACAAACGCCCAAGGGCTCATGGGTAGTGAGAACGAAAGCGTCAGGACGAAGACGAGTGTTTTGACCAGGGAAGCTGCCAGCAGCGATATGGGCGTAATACTCGAGAACATCAGCTCCAGTTGCAACGTCAACGGTTGATGTTTCCGACCAAGGCTTGCCAGTATCAAGGGTCTCGGTCAGCGCAAGTTCGTCATTGCGCTCACGAAGTATAGCGGCTGCCTTGAGAAGAATGGCAGCTCGGCGAGGTGCTGGGGTTTGTGACCATGTTGGAAAAGCGGCCTGGGCCGCCGCAATGGTTGAGTTGAGCTGTTCTGGGGTGGTAGTGTAGATAGTAGCAAGCGGCTTTGCATTGCTTGGATCGACGGACACAAAGGTGTTGGTCTTTGAAGAGGACTCAGGCTGTGGGCGACCTGAGTGGAAAGTGTGAATCTCAGATGAGAAAGTCATTGTAACTTGGTTGGTATGATCGAAGAAGGAGCATGCAATAGGGCATGTAGAGGGAGATGGAATAAGGCAAAGGACAACACAACAGGCAAATAGATAGATAGTAGGTAGGTATTCAGAATGATCTGAGAGAAGATGCTCTACTGGTTACATGTGGGGAGCTGGCTGTAAGTAAGTTAAGGTATCCTACCTTAATATGTAAAGCTTGTGAGGATCAATCAGGATGAAGTACGGAGTACCGTCAAGACGGAATGGCCATTGCCCCACAATTGACTGATGCCGGGTACCTTCCTCTTCTAGCAAGATACAATGACGTGGGGCCAAGCTATACTGTGCCGTCACAGTGGAATTGGCCATCCAGTTAGAGCCCAGCCAAAGTATCAACCATGCAGCCAACATTCAATGGCAAGCAACACGAGCAAGAACTCAATTTCCCAAGCTATGGTCATTCAGAAACAAGTCTCCAACGGAACTGATAGCGATTTTCGGCTGTGAAGCCCTAGTCTGTGACGTGGTGAGATCAGCAGACCTGTGGAAGGATTACACCCATCATGACTCGAGCAGATCTGAAGAGATACGGAGAGTTTGTCGTTGCGAGAACAGGTCGACGGCCATTCATCGTGAGAGTGTGTCTTGAACGTCTCAGCGCTGTTGGAATAAAGCCGCATATTATCAGACCACTCTCACTTGGCGAAAGATAATGAACCTGAGGAAGAAGGGGTAAAACGGTTCCATTTGCAATTGATAAGTTGTCCAACCAATAGATGCGTGAATCCCCGTGCTGCAGTACATGCGTGCGGGCTGATGAATAACAGGACAGCCCGGAAGGCTTGGAAGACTGGACCCCCCAGTCCCGCCTCACTCGACAAAAATGCTGGAGACAATTTCTGGTGCAAGTCACTGCAAAAAAGTCCTGTTTTCTCATCATCTAGGCAGCCTTGCATCGTGCCCAGTCCTCAGCCCAGCTACAGAATCCCAGTCTTGACAATGCCGAAGAACGCCAAGCTTGAGTGGCTGGTCGAGGGGAAGCACAAGAGTGGACACGCCAACGTCATTGCTGAGCTTCGAGGTGCCCACCTGCCACCCCTTGAGCTCTACGTCCAGCCCGAGACTCTTGACCGTTGTTGAACTATGGAGAAAGCAAGGCGCTTGAATGTTGTCTCACAACAATGAATAGATAGCGCTATCATCCAAGGCGAGCGAGTTTGCTTACCAGTCCAGCTCTTACGCACACGATTGTTCTGCCAATAATTCGAGCGGGTTTCAACGGCAGAAAAAGTCAAGCACTGAAAAAATTGGAATCAAGAAAAGCAAAAAAAGAAAGGATTTGCCAGCTCGGCGGGGGCGCACTGTCCAATTACCATATCCCAAAAACCGATCTTAGAGATTATCGATCTGACGGCCAGGTACCCCAACCACGCTTTACCTGATCAGTATGCTAAGCAACATTTCAAACTTTGGCATCCTCCACGGCACATGGCAATATGGAGTTCCAGTGGTGCAAGACACTGTCCCTGCAGATTATCCAATGTGGTCTGGATGAAGCGAGATAGCACAGCACGCGAATCCCGAACAGGTATTTCCTGTACATCAGGAATCCTATAATCACACACATCAACTCAGCACTCGACACATCCTCTGCGGAGAGCGGCGACCCTGCGCCGTGTTACCGTGTTTCAAGCCTCGTAATCAAACACCGACATGGCCGGTTAACCGGTCCAGCCAGTTCGCGATATCATATCAGCAGCTTTCGTCTGGCAATCCTTAGGCCGACTGTGAATTCCAAACATGGAGCTGACTTGGCGAATAGTTATTCCATTTCTTATTGATCATATGGAAACTGATTCGCCATATTGCCCAATCAGAAATCAATCTTGAGTACAATATTTCCTTCGGAGGCTTCGTGGAACCGGATCCGGCCAGCGGAGTTCCTTGGACTCCATCTTTTCGCCGTCAGACGGCCCCACAACCACCGTACAACACCGAACAGGTATCAAACAGTCGCCGCGTCAACCAACGTTCTTCGTGCGGTTGCAGCGGCCAGGGCAAACCAAGCAATGTCTTTGCACGTGTTAGTAGCATGATAAAGAGTGAAGCAGGGACATCGCAGACAGGCCCCCCGGCGACTTGATTGCCCCCAAGAGATCGAGCCTTTTCACAATGGTGAGTTCTGGTCTAACTCTCAGCTACTCTCCCCTGTCACTTCCATTATCTACAAAGATATCAACCAACTGACTGATAACGAAGCCGTCAACGTCATGCAAGTTTGGAACACTGGCTTAAGATATTCAAAACTTCGGTAACACCGAAAAAAAGATTCCCGGAGTCGGTGAAGAGCTTTTTGCCGTTCAGAACCCCCGCCAAGGCCCCGCTCTTGCTAGGTTCGTGGCTTGCTAGATGCTTCAACCAGTTCTCTCCCTGGTTAGCTCTTGCCGCCGCCGCCGCCCGTCTTGGAGTCTTGATCCACCCACCAGCCTTGCTCGATGTTGGCAGCTCTGGCCAATCAGAACTCCTTACTGACCACCAAAGGGTACTTGGAACAGTCAGAACACTACATGGAGTCGAGGCTGGAGACCAGTAGCGAGAATTCATCCGCACTGTACGATTCTTCCAAGGGCCCTTCCATGATCCAAGACCCCACTTTGAGCTGATGTCCGTCCATTTCAAAAAGATCTTGACTGTCTCGGTGCTCAAGTACAAGAGCTCTCTCTCTCCTGGACTTCAAGACGGTTTTCTTCCTCACTTCTCCCTCAACCCCATTCATTGATACCCCTGGAGTCAAAACGATTGAGACACGTGCAAGATCTTTACCCATCCCTCTATTGAATATTTTGTTCAACTTTCCCCTTGCTCAACTTCTCCAACATGACTACTGAGTATCTTCCCGCTTCTGCCAGCTCCGCCTACGACTATATCATCGTAGGTGGTGGCACGGCTGGATGTGTTTTGGCTTCCCGTCTATCCTCCTACCTTCCTGAGCGCAAGGTTCTTATGATTGAGGCTGGCCCTTCAGACTTCGGTCTCAACAATGTCCTGAACCTTCGCGAGTGGCTATCTCTCCTTGGTGGTGACCTCGACTATGATTATCCCACAACTGAGCAGCCCAATGGCAACAGCCACATCCGACACTCACGTGCAAAGGTCCTCGGTGGATGCTCCTCTCACAATACTCTCATCTCCTTCCGCCCCTTCCGCCACGACATGGATCGTTGGGTCGCCAAGGGCTGCAAGGGCTGGGACTTCGAGACCGTTATGCGTAACGTTGACAACTTGCGCAACCAGCTGAACCCCGTTCACCCCCGTCATCGTAACCAGCTCACCAAGGACTGGGTCAAGGCCTGCTCCGAGGCCATGGGCATCCCCATCATCCACGACTTCAATCACGAGATCTCCGAGAAGGGACAGTTGACCCAGGGTGCTGGTTTCTTCTCTGTCTCTTACAATCCTGACACTGGCCACCGCAGCAGTGCTTCCGTCGCCTATATCCACCCTATCCTTCGTGGCGATGAGAGACGACCCAACTTGACCGTCCTCACTGAGGCCCATGTTTCAAAGGTCATCGTCGAAAATGACGTTGCCACTGGCATCAATGTCACTCTCAAGTCAGGCGAGAAGCATACTCTTAACGCCCGCAAGGAGATCATCTTGTCTGCTGGTGCTGTCGATACCCCTAGGCTTCTCCTTCACTCTGGTATTGGGCCTAAGGGCCAGCTTGAGGACCTGAAGATTCCTGTTGTCAAGGACATTCCAGGTGTAGGCGAGAATCTCCTAGACCACCCCGAGACCATTATTATGTGGGAGCTCAACAAGCCTGTTCCTGCTAATCAGACCACCATGGATTCCGATGCTGGTATTTTCCTGCGACGAGAGCCTAAGAACGCTGCTGGCAACGACGGCGATGCCGCTGATGTCATGATGCACTGTTACCAGATTCCCTTCCACCTCAACACAGAGCGTCTAGGGTACCCCATCATCAAGGACGGTTACGCCTTCTGCATGACACCCAACATTCCCCGTCCTCGCTCACGTGGCCGCATCTACTTGACTTCAGCCGACCCAACTGTCAAGCCTGCTCTCGATTTCCGATACTTCACTGACCCCGAGGGCTACGACGCCGCCACCCTGGTCCACGGCATCAAGGCTGCCCGAAAGATTGCGCAGCAGAGCCCCTTCAAGGACTGGCTCAAGGGAGAAGTTGCCCCTGGTCCTAAGATCCAAACGGATGAGGAGATAAGCGAATATGCTCGCCGAGTTGCCCACACAGTCTACCACCCTGCCGGTACCACCAAGATGGGTGACGTTGAGCGCGATGAGATGGCTGTTGTCGACCCCGAGCTCAAGGTTCGTGGAATCAGCAAGCTCCGCATTGTTGATGCTGGTATCTTCCCCGAGATGCCAACAATCAACCCCATGGTGACCGTGCTGGCTGTTGGTGAGCGAGCTGCCGAGCTCATTGCTCAAGAGGAGGGCTGGAAGCCCAAGCACTCCCGACTGTAAGCAACTTCGAGCAAATTTCAAATATCTGCTCGTGGGGGTAAACGGGGGGGATCACTGTTTTTGGACATCTGTATGATTAAATGATTAGCGTATGATTGCATTATCGCAGCGAGTATGACATACCTTGGGTAGTTGGGAAAATTTGAAGTTCGTTTAGCAAATAAGACTCTCGGGGGCTTGTGGCCCGATTTGCCGCTGTTCTTCCAATCGTCTGTGCCGGTGTCGGGTCGTATTTCCCCGATGAGGCCCTTGGCCCAGCTTCTTGACCAATTCATATTTTGCCGCGACGGGTCAGTAAAACAGGCACAGCGGGCCGGCGACTTTCCACCACTAAACCACCCGGATCGCCCATTTTAATGTGTCTCGTAAGGCCCGGAATGCTAGATCATATTTCCATGATGAGACGAAAGTTCGATATGCGCCGATGTTCCAGCACCAATCGGGGTACCCGAAGCGCGATGCAGGACATTCAATCTTGGATGTGTTCTCGGCGGCAGAGATAAGGTGATAATAAGCAGTGGCAAGATGCCACGAGATCGATATAGCATTGCGCGTTGTTATTATGCATATTGTGTCTTGTTGGGTCTCGGGTGGCCAGCTGATGACCATTCCCACAACTCACTTTGTTACCTGACTTTTCTCAGCGGGTGCACTGGTATCCATTTAGACGGGTTATGGCCCGTGGAGCCGTGCATCCATCAGCTGCTCCAAAAGGAAAAGTGTGGGGTATGTCCGGGGTTTCGGGACGGAGCGTTGAGCGTGGAGTGGGTGGTTCGACGGATGACAGGGCCGAAACGTGTCTGTGAAATCCATCCACGTCGGCCGATGCGCCGTTGTGCAGGGTCCCTCGGTCGAGGACCCTCTACTCCTCCATGGGGATAACATAGATTATCTTCCGGAAAGACAGTTGAGATGGCCTTAGCAGAGCCGCGGTCCGGCCAGCCGCCTGCTAAAGAGGTCTCGATCGGTAGGGGCTATACCTTCGTTTTGAGTGAGGTTTATAGAAGAAGCAGTGCAAGCTGAATAGCAATAGGCGCATTTGTTGATTTCGCTCTGTTCTCGAATCTTTGCACTTTGATGCATAAAACCATCTGACGGATTGCTGTGTCCCTATGGCTGAGATATTCAGGTTGCAGAAGGTTTTCCATTGTGTTTTTAAAGCATTAACAAGCAGACACGCTAGATAACCGATCCCAAGAGCCTTCAATCGGCTGCCCGAAATCCCCAACTTCAAGACGCGATTCGAGGTCAGAAAAATGGCTACACCAACAATCGACTTACCACCAACAACGTGTGAAGAAGAAGTCACCACGCCCATATTGGACAACGCTCAAGGACTAGCCTCTGCAATAGGAGCAGCAGCAGCGGTGGCGGCTGTAGCTGTCGGGGACGGTCTTACACACGGACTTGGAGGAGTTGCATATGGAAAACCATACGATGGTCACATCTCAGAAGAAGATGGCCAGTTCCACGATGTAGATCACAAAGGCGCACGTGAGGCGAAACAACAGAAAAGCCTTAGGGAGGCCCAAGAGAAGTGGGATGCTGCAACCATGGGACCGGTAACAAGGGTCGAAACAGTTATAGCGGCGGAAGGTGGAGGAGGAGATGGAAGAGGAGAGCGGGAGGTC